AGGGGTAGAGAAAAAATGTTGTGATGGGGGGGCGGGGGTTTACAGCAAATTGTAGGCGATTTACAGGTTGGGGACCATAGATACAGGGTGTACGGGGAAGTGGAACCAGAAAATTGGGAAAAAGAATATTAATCCGCAGACAGGAAAAAGAGGCTAAACCAGCACCTGCACATCATGGATGGCTGGTGCCTCTATAAATACATTATTGATTGTCAAGGTCAAGGTCAGAGGATAGCAATGTGTTCATGATTTCTCGATAGTCTTGAAAAACGTGAACATTTTCTCTATGACATTTGGTTCTTTGGCAAAGCCCATATTTACCTTTCAGGTAAAATCAACTCCACAAATGCTGTCTATTTGGGCAACCTCACCCCCCCCTCCCCCATTTTCTCTAGAAACATCTCCATAGTGTAAGATGCACAGTGTGCGGGTGATTTTGGGCACTCATGGTTGAGTGGATCCTTGTGTTTGGCCACCACTGAACATTACGAACGACGCGTTAACAATGTGTCGAAGACAAAGGAGGACATAGATCTATAGACCATTGGTTCTGGGAATTTCAGATTTTAAAAATATATTTAACTCTGTAGGAGAAAAGAACTATTATTTAAAGTTTACATGGATGGAAAGATTAGATTTTGAAAATAAAAGGAAAGGAAAAAACAAACCAATCATTCTTTGACTTTCCTTACAAGATCTTTTAAATTGGTGCATGTTGCATTTATATGTGGTTTTTATAAAAAGCCATTTCCGTTTTTGAAGATAAGTTTCTTTTTTGTGAATTTCATGTTTAACAAATTCCTTTTGAATGAATTATATCTGTTCCAAATTACAACATTCTTGTACACATTTTGTTGGAGATACATGTATTTAGAATAAAAAGTTGTACAGTTGGGGCGTTTTTTTGGATCACCTGTGTTACTGCTCATTTGAACGGAAAAATAGCAGCGCTTCTCTCGCTCTTTCGGATAAAACATCGGTACCGAGTATTGAAGTCAGTATCTATATTTGAGGCAGCGTGGTGGAATCAGGCTCTCGTCAAAATAATGAAACTGAAGTAACTTGCATTTTTCTGCAGGTTTGTGAATTTTTATCAAATTTTTGTTTTTTGG